CTGGCCTGAACATCTGCCTGCCCCAAGAATGCTCCAGGGTGCACGGAAGTGGCCTCCCCCACAGGATTGTCATCTTGGAAGTACGGGTGGACTGAAGGGCCTGTTCCTAGGAAAAGATGAAGGTAATTCTGGAGTGGGAGGAAGAAACAAAGCTGAGGTGCTTCTAAGAGTAAAGAGCAGAGGATGGGAGAGGAGACGAAACAGGGCAGCCGTGGCCCCCAACCCTGAAAAAAGTCAGCTGGAGTACAGTCAGAGGGCACCGCCCCAGTCAGCCTAGGCCAGCCCTGTCTCTGCGGGGTGGAGCCACGGCCGAGAACTGGACCACATGGACAACACCTGACACAACAGTATTAGAGTTTGCCTTTTAGGGGCCATCCTGACTCCAGAAGCAACTCAGAATACCTCTGTTGGAACCTGGGCCTCCCCTTAGGTTAAAGCCACAGTCGCCTAACCTTGAATCCCAGACGCCTGTTAGCACTCATTAACTGCGGGATACATAGCTAGTTACCTTCCTCGGTTATGAAATGAAAAGTTTGGACTAGATGCACCATGTCTCGCTTCAGCTCTGACATTCCATGAGCCCCTGAAATCCGTAACGGAAGTTCACATATTCAAATCCATTCACTCAGCAATTACACGCTGAGTGCAGAACACCAGGGCAGGTGCCATTCGGCAGAAGATGAGGAAACGAAACAGGGGCGTCCAAAAATGGGGTGATAAAAATGTTCTAAAATAGATGATGATGGTGATTGCACAGCTATCTAAATATACCAAAAACATTGGATTGGGCATTTAAAATGGGTCAACTTTATGGTGTGTAAATGATACCTCACAAAAGCCATTGAAAAAACAGATCAGCTAGCATCTACCATGCTTACAGAAGGGCAAACAAGGTGGCATAGCAAAGATGTCCCCCAGGGATGGGCAGCAACATGTACCAACCTGAGAAGTGCCAGCGGATGCCCTGATTTGGCGACAGCTTGGTATCACTCAAACATTTCCTTCTCACAGGCCATACACTCTTCCTGTATGTCAAGGCCAACATGGACTCTGGCTGGTAAAATAAAAGCCAACTTCTGCCTGGGGGAGGCCTCTATCCAGGCTGGCATCCAGCCAAGAAACTGGCCACATGGAGATGCAATTCCCACCCCTGTTTCCTCCCCAGATCCCCTAGGAAAAGAGGGAGCAAGCCTGTGAGGGGGAGGACACACAGAGATCCTAAAACAGCTACTCATTACAATGTTTGCAATTATTGCAAATTTTGACTATCATAATAACTCTTCATGGTTGTGTTGACCAGAGGGAAATTTTATTCCCAAATGCGCCTGTGTCAAATTTACCATTATCTTCCAGGAAAAAAAAATCAAATGAAAAGGCTTTTAAAAAGAGATAAAGTTTACTCATTGGAAATTAGAAATGAATATTTATTGTCAGATCTCTGTCTAGATTAAAACCTTTTATTTAACACCAGTTGAAAGTGTAAATTATTCACATGTTTACATTTCAATGACTTCTGCTCTCTAATGATTCCATTTTCTAGAGTGTATTAGTGGTAAGATAATGAAATGCCTCATCAGCTTGGAGTATTAAGCAAACAACGAACTTCAACTTTTTCAACAATGAATAAAAAATAGAGTGGTCCCCAACAATTTATTTCATCAATCTGATACAATATACAGCTAACTTCCCGAAACGAGCAATAAAGAGAGAGCTGCCAACAGCACTAGGAACGCGTTCCAGTCTCCTGTCGACATGCAATGGGACCATATTACAAACCTACTCCTCTCGCACAAATCATGATTTTTGGCAAGATTCATCTTTGCCAGAAGGGAGGAGAATTTTTAAAAAGAGAGAGAGCACACAGGATTCTCCACTTCTCCAGCCAGCAAACAGGAACTCTTGCTGTTTAAATGACATTATATAATTGTCCACTCGATTCTTCTCTCTTAGGCTATTACTTCATGTTAGGGAATTTCATCATAAATAACGATTCCTCATCTGTTTATAGTGCTTTAAATTTACAAAACGCTTCCACACATAGTATTTCATTCAAATGGCATGCTCTTTCTGGAATACTGGGGAAATCTTTGTATGCCTGAAGATAAATGAACATATGTATAGAAACCCAAGAATTTATAAACCAAACCTGCTTTCCAGAACTTTCCATGAGACTGTTTTACAAATCTTTCAATTGCACCACGCTATCCATATATCTAAGTGCTAATAACCTGTGACATTTTATACATTCCTCCATGTTAGGTCTTTAGCCCCATGGAAATGACAATGGATTTTTGTTGTTGTCATGCCAAGCAGAGCTGCTGGCCTTTAGCAAGTCAGGAGGTTGCTTTCTTTAGAATTAGATTCGGCATTATGCTTGAAGAGTTAAGACATAACATCTATTTTCAAAATATTTAAAATCTAATAGGGGAAATGAAACGTTCATAAAATGAATGCTAACAAAACATGGCCACAAGTAAGCATGGCTAAGAGAATGACAGAGAAGGCGCTAGAAGCATTGCTGCGAAGAAGCAATCAATATGGCCCCAGGTAAGCTGCAGCATCCTTGCTGACAGCCTGGGATGATGAATGCTGTTCTGAGGAGAAGGTGCCCAGCCCAGGCAGTGGGTGCTGCAGGAGGGGACCTCCAGGCGACAAGGCGCCAGGCCTCACAGGTCAGACTGCCTGGTCTCCTCCATGGCCACATGTTTTGAGCAAAAGGGGTAGGAAAGATTGAAGGTGTCACACAGGCCGGGGTAGACTGTGACGAGCTGCGAATTGCAGGCCAGAGTTTTTATTTGATCTTATAGTTAAACAAGAGTCCAAAAAAAAGAGGCAATGTAACCTTTTTAAGCAATATTTCAGCCCTATTAATCTGACAGTGATGTGTGGGATGAAATAAACGAGGGAGATGTTTGGGTAGGAAAACAGGCCATGACAACCTTCTCTTCATTTCATCATTGGGTGTTGGAGACCTAACCCAGGGCGGCAGCAGTAATGGGATGGAACAGGAGGCAGGTGCCCGCCTTCTACAAAGGAGAACAAGGCGCCTACAGACTGGCGGGTGAGGTGGCAGGGCGGGGAAGGTGCCAAGCTGACTGAAGACCCCAAACCCGGCGCCACTGACGGAAGCTGGGAGGCCCCGGCTCGATGGAAATGAGGCGCGGGTGTTGGATGAGCCCAATGGGAAGTGACAGCCGGACATCCAGGTGGAAAGAGGCAGCCGGGCTGCGCACACGGAGCGGAGTTCAAGAGAAGTCGGCACAGACGGTGGCGTCACTGAAGCCATCTGCCCAGAAGTGACATCTGAAACCACGGAGCCAACCAGAGCTCCCAGAGGGCGGGTGCCAAGACACGAGGGTGACATGTCAGGGACCCACGTCCAGGGCGCGCCTCAGAGAGGACAGACCAGAAGCCCTGAAAAAGGTAGAGTGACAGGAGAGGTGACACCGGGGCCACCCAGGCCTGGAGTGACCAGAGCCAGAGAGGAAAGGGCGTCCAGAAGGCAGTAACGTAGAGACGCCCCGTCCGCTGTTGCATTTATCCCATTTATTCTACCTGGGGTGCAGAGTTTGATTTCCATGTTCATCCCCCAAATTGACCTTTTGACCCTTTAAATCACATATGACATCATATGTGGAATAAAATTTACCAGATTAAGATAGTCTGCTGCTATTTCCTAGGTCATTAATATGCTGCTTTTCATCTAATAGGACATGTGAGGCATTGAGTGTCTTTCCTTCGACCTCCCATGAAATAAATTTAGCCAAACTAGCTCTAACCTCCAACATCTCTTTAATATGCAGCAGTCTTTCAACTTGAGAAGAAAAATCGCCTTTCTAAATAGAGCTTTCTGTGAAAAGTGCTGCTACAGAGTCTGGTCCCAAACGGGCCCTGGGGAAATCCCACAGGCCTGTGTCTGTGGACCTGTGTCATCTGGTGCCGGCCCCCGAGCCCCCAGAGAGCCCAGCGCCAGGCCCTGCCTGGGGACTGCCTGCATCTGAGCCACTCTCCATTTCCGGACATGGTCCAGATCACACGCGCTGCTGTAACCAGCCCCCACTGGAGATCTTCCCCAGGACCGAGCACGGCGTGTCCCCACAGACGGGACTGTGTTGGGTCCCGCTCCCAGCACCAGCCACCCCCCCTCCCCACCGTCACCCCTGGACACGGCAGGCACGAGTCCAGATTACTGGTGACTCAGCCCTCGCTTCCAGTAGAGCTCTGCTCTCCCCCTCACCTGTGGGTCTCCCTCCCCCCAGCCCCTTACCTGCAGCTCTGACTCAGAAAAGCATCAGCAGGGGTGTCCACGGCCTCCTGGATGCCCTGGGCCACTTCCGGCTCTATTGTCTGTAACACAGTGCAAGGCAGCCGGTCACGTTGGCCTGTTTGTGGGGTTACGTCCTGCATTTGCCACATTTCCCCGAGCCGCCTAGAATCGCTTTGCTTGAAGAGACGGTGTCTGACCCTTAGAACCCAGAGCCCCGCGTGTCAGCATGAGGAACAGCCTTGACAGTTCCATGCATGAAGCCCATTTTATGAAGGACAGAGAGCTGGACCTGAGATATCCGGCTCGTTGGGAGCTACAGGGATGCCAACCGCTGCTTCACGCCCCTTCCCCCATCTTATGAGGACGTCAAGAAGGCAACAGTTCTCGGCGGTGTGTCATTGAGAGGGAAGGACTCGTTATTTTTGGACAAGGACAATCTCTAAAGATATAACTGGGTCCGTTGGGAATGGTCTCCAGCTCCTTACACTGACCCTTGGAGTTAATATTGGGGTCGCCTACAATGCTTGGCTTGGGAAACAGAGCCTGGATGTTTTTCCATGCGCTTCGTCCCCACTCTCCTCACTGCCGAGACCCAGCTCTGTGGCCTCAGCTCTGCCTCGCTGCTCCCCCCCCAAGACAGAAACTGCGTCCCCTCCCTGCCATCCTCCCAGCGAGGAGGCCCCTAGGTCCTGATTTGCCAAGGGCACTTCGGTTTTATACCAGTTATTACAGCACGATTACAAATAGAGCCTTCTCTTACTCTTAAAAATGTCTGGTTTGGAGAATACACTAAAAGATGACTATTTATAGCTCGTGCAACCAAGAGTTAAATGTGTGGTAGATGCCTTAAGGAAGAAGCTCACGATGGATGTTTTTCCTCCTGTCGGGTCAGCACCCACCCTCTGCCCCACTTCCCATGGGAAACATGGTGGTGCCGATGGGGACCTGCAGCCACTGACCAGAGCCGAGCCTGCTCATCCAGGCCAGTCAGTGGCCATTTCAGTGGATGTAGGTCAGCTGGACTTACCGCGGAGAGAGAATCCTAATGACAGGAAATGTCTTTGTTTCCATCAACGTGCAGTTTGGCCACTCCGTACTGTGACCCGAATCTTCGCTCTTAACCTTGATGATCTCCATTTCCAGTTGCTTCCTTTACTTCTCACGGCCTACCTTCAATAAAAAGATAATTTGCTTAACACATGGGGCTTCCATCCATTTAATAAATATTTACTAGGCTCCAACTGAACTCTCTGTAATATTGGCAATGAAAGAATAAATAAGACAGACAGGGCCCTTTTTTCATATAAAATCACTCCCTAAGGGAAATTTGATTTAAATAAATAATTATAAATGTGGTCAGTGCTACAAGGAAAAACACAGGAGGCTGTCTGATGGGAAGTCTCACCTACTGCTTGGTGGGGAGGAGGGGTAAGGGGTAGAAAGAGTGGGTGGAAATCGGCCGGCAGCAAAGGGCGAGTTAAGACACTAC